TAGAGCTATCAACAGACTTGGGACACAACAGTATTGCCAAACTCAAGCATTCAAAAACTGTAACTCAGACCTCAGAAAGTGAGGAGATTGCTTACAAAATCATGAGGTTTTTTTTAATTAAATAAAATCACGTTTTTCATCTTCCGATTTGTTTACATTTAGAGGTTATACCCAATTTGTGAACAAGCACCTCAAATTCAAAATAAAACCTCAAATGCCTACAGAAAAATGTTTTCTAAAAGAAGATGTACCCTATCTAATTTTACTCCCTGTGATGCAGGGAACTACCATTCCCTTTCTATTTCCTTCTCTACCTGGACAGGGTAGGCAGCTGCCCAATTCAAGGTCCCCCTGTCTCTCATCTCCTACTTACTCCCTATATTGACTTAGCTCACACATTTCCCTTTCTTTTCCACCACAGTTTTCTGCCTTTCACACTTTTCCTACTTGCACATTTCCCTTTGATCCCTCAATTTCCTTTTGCACCCCAATTTCCCTGCTGGAATAAAAGGCAGGTTAAAATAGATCAGCTAACATGATTGAACTAATAAATTTTAAAAATCTAGTATACAAAAGCAGTGTGCATTATTTAACATAAGTTAAACTGCTCAATTTAAATTCCCTCGACTTGATCACATTAACATGTTATTTAGGGTGTGTCTAGACTACCTAGTTTTGTCGACAAAAGTGGACTTTTGTCGACAAAACTATACCAGCGTCTACACTACCGCTGAGTTCTGTCGACATAACGTCGAACTCTGTCGACAGAAGGTGTTATTGCCTGTAACATTGCGTCCAGACTATGGAGTTCTGTCGACAAAGCAGCTTGCTTTGTCGACAGAACTCAATGTGTCTGGACGCTCTTTGTCGACGGACGTATTGTCAACAGTATCTGTCGACAAAACTTCCGTCGACAAAACGCGGTAGTCTAGACGTACCCTTAAAGAATACACTGCCTTTTCTGAACTGGTCTCTTAATACATGCTGGTAAAAATGAATACACTACAACATCATTCAAGCCTAGACAAGGACTCAGTCTGGCTTCTGCTTTCCATACTTCCCTGCATTCCCCACAATTTCCTGTCTTATTTCTTAACATGTTCCTCTTCCCAACTTCCATCACAGCCTTACTTCTGACCCCTGCCTGGCCCTCACATGGTGACTAAGGGACTGTCATCTCCTGAGACCTGCTTAACTTCAGCCCCATTGGAGAGAATGAGAGCCTCATTTTCTTCTGCAAAGGGAAGAGGGACATGCTGGTTATTATGCTGAGGGCATCTCTGACATCAGCCCTATTGACAGAAACAGGAAATAATGGCCATTTTGGATAGAGGGCAAAATGTTGCGATGTTGAAAGCAGAAATAAAAAATTCATTGAGACTCTTAAAATTCCCAAATATCTTGAGAAATATGATAAAATTACAAGAGCTTAAATATTAAAGAAGAAAGAAAAGGGATGAACCAATATGCATGGAAAATGGATGAGACAAGATACTGAAGACCAGAGCCCCAGGACTTGAAGCTGTGATAATCTATCAAATTTGGTTAATACATCTCCCTGCACTGACAGAAAATATAGAAACATTTTCTACTCTATTTGTGATGGAAATGCTAGCACAGAATAAAACAAAAAAGTATATGAATAATATTTAAAACCATAGACTTCAAACTTTGTCAGATGAAATGGCCATACCATCTTTTCAATATTTGGATTCCATCTCCAAATCCTCACAAAGGTCTGCGATACCCCAAAAGACATTTCCCTCCAAGTCACTAAAAATGAAAAATTCTTATACATTGATAGTATCTTGTCCATTTACCAGTCTACCAGCATCTAAGCAGCTAATCTGATTGCAACTAAAAAGGCATGTGACATGGTATTAACTTACTAAATTTCATATTACATCTTGTCTTATTCACCCACTGCTTTTGTAATTTTATGAATTGGACAGTTAATTTCCAGAATCATCCCAGTAAGTTTCTATAATGTCTACTGGATCACAGACTACATAATTTAGTATCCATTCTTTGAACAAAATGAGGCAAGTTCGGAAAATACATAATTCACTGCAACTTCACTGGATACCAAGCAGGTCAAAATTATTTTACAGGTGAAAAATTCTGAAGCCAAAATTGAAATGGAAAAAACTAAGTGGCTCTTTACTGGTATCTCTGCAACTTAGAACATAAGAACATAAGAATGGCCATACTGGGTCAGACCAAAGGTCCATCTAGCCCAGTAGTCTGTCTGCTGACAGTGGCCAGCGCCAGGTGCCCCAGAGGGGGTGGACCGAAGACAATGATCAAGTGATTTGTCTCCTGCCATCCTTCTCCAGGCTCTGACAAACAGAGGTCAGGGACACCATTTCTATCCCCTGGCGAATAACCTTTTATGGACCTAACCTCCATGAAATTATCTAGTTTCTCTTTAAATTAATCCTAAGGATGCGGCACACACATCAAAGGAGAAAATCTGAAAGAGCCAGACAAGGGCACATGGTTCTGTTATTCCTCAAATAACTCCTTCATGTGGGTATCCAAGCATGTATTTGCTCCAGAAAAACAAGGGAATGGCATGACTGAATTGTCAGCAGCACATGCCATTACTTGAATTTGAAATACATATGTGAGTGCAATGGTATTTTGTGCAGTTGACCCATTCCAGTGGCTACTGAAAATCTTACTCAAGTCTAAATTGATCACTTTCAAGGCCAAAAAAAAATCACTTCACTTTTGCTCTGAATTGCTGGATAATTCACTAAGCGAAAATAATCATAGGATTTGAAGGGCCTGAGGGGACTGGCTGAAACAAAGCAATTGCTTTCATAGAGATTTGGTTTCCTAAAAATGTAAAGAGGCATTCATTGAAGAATAGGCCATTTAGAATCCCAATGAGAAGGCAGTAAAGCAAGAGAGAACCAAAAAGCATTCATTTTCCAATATGAGAGGCAGAAAAATTAAAGCAGCTAAATAATCACTATACCTCTCAAATAAGAGTAACAAGAGATAATGATCTCTGCCTTGATATAGTCCCTGCCATTCAGGCCAAAGAGAGAAAATACGCCAAACCTATAAGTGGTGTAAATTGGCATTGCTCCATTGAAAAATCAATGGAACTATGCCAATTTACATCAGCTGAAGCTGTGAAACCAGCAAAGGAGGATTCTGACTTTACCCTGGCAAACTTCAGTACACCATGAAGAAAACTCACATATGGTCTGCCAATATTTTTTAAACAAAACAAAAAAAAGAAAAAAAAAGAAGGAAAAATTACAGAATGTGCTTTCCCTCATGTTGGAAAGTGAATGCTTTTTGGATCTCTCTTGGTTTGCTGCCTTATCACTTGGATTCTAAAAGACCTATTCTTAAAAAATGGAGTTGACTGGTGCATGCTTCTAAAATATTATATCTGATGGGGACAATGATGAAATATGAAATTTCCCCAAAACAAAGGACAAATCTTTAACAGTACATATAACAGAAATAAGAAAGCCATACTGGGTCAGACCAATGATCCATCTAGCCCAGTATCCTGTCTGCCGACAGTGGCCAATATCAGATATCCAAGTGGGAGGGAACACAACAGATAATCCTCACATGACCCCTCCCATCACCCATTTCCAGACAAAGAGGCTAGGGACACCATTCCTACCTATCCTGGCTAGGGACACCCATCCTACCCATTGATGGACCTAACCTCCATGAATCTATTTAGTGCTTTTTTGAACCCTGTTAAAGTCCTAGCCATCACCACATCCTCTGGCAAGGAGTTCCACAGGTTGACTGCGCACTGAGTGGAGAAAAACTTCCTTTTGTTTGTTTTAAACCTGCTGCCTATTAATTTCACTGGATGAACCCTAGTTCTTAGATTGTGGGAATAAGTAAATAACTTTGCATGTAAGCTTTTCTAACCTGAAAAGTTGCTGAAAATGTTGCCTGTAAGCTTGCTTGTTTGTCACAAATGGTCACATTTGTATGTTTATTGGCTTTTTATAAGAGGCTGACTTGTGAGAAAATATATCATATGTATTTTTGTCTTAATCTCTTTAGAAATCATTTTGAAATGGACACAATTGCAATGAAAGCAAATGATATGAATAACCAGTACTCTTCTTAGTCTCTCATCTCATTTTAATACTAACATTGATTATATATGTTATTTACTTCGTGAAGCAATTTTGACGAAGACAGGTAAAACTATACCTAAAACTAAAACCCTAAAACTATACCTGATCATTTGTTCAATGAATGCTAAAGGGAGAAATCCATTAAAATATGGCAAAAATTAGAAGTAACAAGCAGGATACTTGAACAAGTAAATTAAATTTTATGTCACTATAGTTTTCCTCAGAACGTAGGCTTAGACAGCCAGGGTACATCTACACAGTACCCTAAATTCAAAATAAGATACACAATTTGTACTATGCAAATTTCATATCTTATTTCAATTCTATTTTGAAATAGCTTATTTTGAAATTTGGTGCATCTACACAGTGCCAAATTTTGAAATTACACGCTATATTGAGACATCCCTTAACCCTCGAGGAACATGGGTTACAAGGATGCCGAAATAGCGTGCCCATTATTTAGAAAAATATTTTGAAGTAACGAGCAGCTTGTTAAGATTCAGGGCAACTATATTAGGATACTGCTAGTATCACAAAATAGCTGCACTTTGTAGACATACCCCCAGAGTAGTTTCAAGTGATTAATATTCCATAACTCATGTTAACTGAAAATTAGCACTTGTAAGGTGCATCTGAGTTCTAAGCCTTTATCTCAGATACGATTTTAATCTAACTACTAGGTTACGATTTACAGTGTATGACATTAAATTTAAAAACAAAACAAAAAGTGTTAAAGCCACTATATAAAATGTTTTAAAAGAGGAACAGTTTGCAAATGTTAAATACCAATACTGTGTTGGTAATGATATGAAATATTTGGCAATATATGAAATATGTATTTGGCAATAATATGAAATATTTTAAAATGCCTACCTCTTCTTGCTTGGGAATGTTACATTTTTCCATCTTGGTCATATCTGAATCAGACTTATTAGAAGGTACTCCCCTATATGACGAGCAGTGCTTGTTACTTTCTGACAATAACTTTAGTTTTGGAGACTCATCAGGAGCCTGATCTTGACCGTCCATTGGTCTTACATAAGCTGTTGGTTTCTGCTGAACTATATTAGGCTTTGAAGCAAGTGAAGGAGGGAAGTTCTGAACACAGTGCCCAGTGCTGTGTTTTGCTGACCTTTCTTGAGCCTGAGACCCTATTTCTGCATTGTTATTTAGTTTTGACTGCTGTTGTGCTCTACTAGCACTGTCTCCAAGCACAGATCTTAAACTACCTTGTGGTGCCGCACTGGCAGATGATGATGTGGGACTCGATACAAAATGTTTAAGCTTTTCCAGGCTGGTTTTTTGGTTAGCCATTTTGAAATCACTGTTGTGTGACTCAAGCAATCTGTGCCCATGCTTGCTTGCCCTCTGCTGGCCATCAGAAACATTTTGCCCAGCTTTCTGCCAACCCATTTTGGGGCTCTTGCTTTGCTGACCAGACAGCGCTGTTGGAATGGAAGATGAAGAGCTGCAAATGGAAGGAGTAGGCTGTGGTCTTCCATCTGCAATAAAATGTTCATCAGTTTTGTTCACAGGTGCCTGAGAAATCCCAGGTTTTGGAACTCCAACAAGATGACTCTGGTTGGATCGATCTGTCAATAAGTCCTTCATTTCATCATAGTTACCTAGTGTATTCTGGATACGATTTGAGAGCTCATCTCCCTTGTTAGTCTGCAAAACAAAACAAAACAAAAATCAAATGTTCTGTAACAATTAATGTAAAAGAAAACCATTCCATTTGTGCTTTGCTCCTTAGTGAAGCAGCACGGCCTTATTCGGCAACACAGATGAGGAACGAGATCAAAAATCATTATGCCTCTGAAGACACTTGTCAACATCTTAAATCTACCCTGAACTGGAAAAGCTGTAAAGAGCCTTAGAGTACATAAAAAAGAAATCCATCACTGGTGTCACACTATAGTTAAAATATATTACCTAGAAACTAGAAAATTTATTATTGCAACTATTCAGAATGGTTTGGATTAAACCTGGTCACGATAAAGAAATTTCCTTTGTTAGGAGCAAAGTATTGGAACTGAGATTTACAAGGTCCTTAGCCACTGCACCCCAACCAACAAGTCCACAGCTGTCAGGCCCATGATCGGAGACAGGCAGCATTTTCATTAAGTAACTGGACTATATAAAAGTCTGAACAGGAAGAGGAAGCTTTCTGGGCCCCATACCAGTGTCTGCTGGTTGCTCCCCAGTCTAACTTGCCACTTCACCTGACCCTACTTCATTGCCTCAGCCAACCTCGCTTCCCTAATTCACTGACCAAGTCCCTTGGATGGACCCTTCCAGCTACGGACGTCTACAAGAACTCCGACCATGTCCCCAGACAGCCTCTGTTATGGACTGACCTGCTGGCTGCCCGACTACTTGAACATATGTTACTGCTCTGGACTGCTGCCTGGCTTGCCTGGCATAAAATCCTTATGGTCCACAGCAAGCTTCCCTTTCAAGATATGGTCACGCTTCCGCCATGAATGAAAATACTAAGTTCTTGATTTCCTCCAGTTGGTGTTCTTTACAGAAGTGCATATATTGCTCAAAAGGGAGGCCATACTATAACTTGAGACAGTACTAAATTCACCAGTCAGCCTACTTCATATTTTGAGCTGATTCTAATATTGAGTAGGTTCCTTAAGGAAAGAAAGTGAGCTAATAGGATGGGGGAAATATTACTGTTATGCTACTTCTTTGAAAATATCATTTATGACAGAATTCTCGGCTCTTTTACAGAAAACAAGTAGAACTTCACAAGTTCTTAAGATTTTCTGGCAGTGGCAGTGAGATGAAATACAAGCAGTAGCCTTTTCCGTCCTCCCAAATGTAGAGTATGCTACTACCTGGGCCAAGTCACTGCCTTCAAGCAGCAGGCAAAAGCTCCCCAAAGAAATAAGACAATCAATACAAATAACTGAAAACTATTGTCTCAAGAAGTTAATTGTAAATAGTGGTATAACCATTAACATCACGTCTTCATAGATGCTTCTAGACTCTACAGAGAAGCAGGTGGGTGAGCAAGAACCCTGTAAACGATCTTCAAAAGAAATGGGATTAGAGGCTTGTAATTTTCTGCTTTTCCTTCATCAGAAGTGAAATCCTCATCCTGCTAAAGTCATGGCAGAACACCCATTGCCTTAACTAGAATTAAGATTTAACCTCAGGGTTCTTGCTTCTGAAGAGGGAATAGCTCATAGGAAGAACAAAGAGAATGTGAAAAAGAAAAAGGATGTAAGTAAATCTACAACAGGCCAACAGTACTCAGGCCAATACCAGGCATGAAGAAGGCGGGATTTTTGGTTTACTTTTTATAAACTTCAATTATAATTGATTTAAATTAGTCACAAACTGAAAAGAAATGAATAAACTAGGCACAGTTGTGCTCACTGCAATTTGGATGTGCAGGCATTCAATTTAGATCAGTGCCTGTACTCCTTACAGTCATGAGGAGTAAGGGAAGCCAACAAGAGCATTTGCTCCCATCAGCCTCTCCTTGTGTGGATGCCTCCGAGCTCGGCTTAAGGTAAGCCAACTCCAGCAACGTATCCTATGTAGCTGGAGTTGCATACTTTAAGCCAACCTTTTAAGTCTAGTATGGGCCTGACCTTAATTGGGGAATTCTGCCTACTCCTTTTGGAATGTGGGACTGCAGATGGTATCTTCAGACCAATTTTGTTTGTCTCACTCATAGTGAATAAAAACAAACAAACTATTTAGCATCTTGCTAAACAGGCACCTGCATTGGACTCATGATATAAATATGAATGGGCAACAAACAGGCAGATGAAATTCAGTGTCAGTGTAAGTGAGGGAATGGTGCCGCTATTGTGGGGAACTTTCCTGACTTCTATACCACTCCGGTGAAATGAACCAACAAAAGGATCTGAGTCCCCGCTCCCACTTCCTTTACCCCACAGCCTCCCTGATCCTGAGGGCTCCCCTTCCACTCTCCTGAGTAGCAGAGTCCTCGTAACCCCAACAAGGCTGGGCCCAGGTTTCCTGGGGCTTAATCCCCAACCTTGTAGTCACTAAGGGCAGGGGTTAGGGTGTCCCCAATCCGAGGTGCTCTCTTCACACTGCATGCTTTCTTGACCCAGTGATCATTTCATAAGGTTCAAAGCAAATACAATTTATTAAACATCAACTGATTAAAGAGAAAAGAATAAGGAAAAATGAGAATGGTTAAATGAGAACACACAGTCCGGCTCTGTAGCACGAGGACATCAAAACAGCAGTCTGCAGAGTGTAAGGACAGTTCACAGTCTCTTCCTTATAAGGCCCCTTAGAGGCCCTGGATGTGCTGCAGGGGGGCTGCAGGCTGGACACGCTTGCTCTGGCAGTGACCACACAGCCTCAAGCTCTAAGTGGCCAGACCCCTCTCCCAGTCTGGCCTGCTGGGCCTCTTGGCTGGTGATATCTCCCTGCCCAGAGCCTCTCCCCACACTTTGCTGATACCAGCTGCTCACCACACCCAGCTGCAGGCTGTGCTGCTTTGCCAGTCTCCAGCTCCTTGCGTTGCTTCTCTATCCCTTTTGGCTCTCTGAGCACTGCCAGTCTGCTGCTCAACACAGCTCCGTGGACTGTGTGTGCCTGGCTCTGTTGCTGCAAAACTGCCCCTCAGCACAGCTTGCACTCCTTGGGCTGTGTGTGCCTGGCTCTGTTGCTGCAGGACTGCCTCTCCACACAGTGTGCTCCTTTTAGCTGTCTCTCAGCTCTCACCTTGCTCAGAGAGACCCAGAAAAATCCCAGGTCACAGGGAGGACGGGACCTGGCCTCTCACTTTCCTCACTGGCCTATCAACCTGTCAATCAGGCTGAGCTGGAGTGTTGGCTGCTTTCCATTGTCTCTGGGGTCTGTCAGTCTCATGGACCCTTCCCCTTTTGATACTGGGAGCTGGCGAACCAAAAACTTCCGCAGAGTTTTAGTAAGAGGCTAACAGTCCCCTTACATCAGTAAACGCATAGTAATGTACGCTGGAAAACATAATCCCAATTAGACAAACAAAATGATAGGGTCTAAATTAGCTGTTATCGCTCAAAGAAATCTTAGCTTCATCATGGATAGTTCTCTAAAAACATCTGCTCAATGGGCGGCAGCAGTCAAAAAAGCTAACAGGATGTTAGGAAGCATTAGGAAAGGGATGGATAAGACACAAAATATTAAAATGCCACTATATAAATCCATGGTACCCTACCACATGTTGAATATCCATGCAGTTCTGGTTGCCACTTCTCAAAAATGATAGATTTGAAAGAACAAACAAACATGATTAGGGGTTATGGAACAGCTTCCATGTGAGGAAAGATTAAAAAGGCTAGGACTGTTCAGAGTAGAAAAGAGGCAAGTAAGGGGGGAGGTAAAGGGCTATGATGGCAATCAATGAAATCACAAACGGGGTGGACAAAGTAAATATGGAAATGTTACTTTCCCTGTCACAACACAAGAACCAGAGGTCACTCAATTAAATTAATAAACAGCAGGCTTAAAACAAATTTAAGGAAGTGTTTCTTCACAAAATTTAGTCATCCTGTGACAGGGGACATTGTGAAGGCCATAAGTAATACTGGAGTTGAAACAAGAAACAGATACGTTCATGGACAGTAGCTATGTCGATGGCTATTAGCCAAGATGGTCAGGGATGCAATCCCATGCTCTGGGTTTCCCTAAGTCTCTGACTGGCAGTTACTAGGATTGAGTGATGGGGCATGGATCATGTAATTTCCCTATTCTGTTCATTCCTTCTAAAGCATCTGGCAATGGTTACTCTTTAGGACTGAATACTCGGCTAAATGAACCATTCGTCTGACTCAGTATGGCCATTCTGTTGTTCTTATGTTAGCTTGACCTCATTCTAACAGTTGTTTTTTAGTAGTAAAGCACCATCACTTTGACTCTTAGATTCAATGCTGTATAATCGAGGTAAGAGACTATTTCATTTTCATTTACTACTGAATCTTGTAAATACTGATGTAAACTTATCTGATTCTCAATGAACCATAAATATTTATATGTGAGTTTTCTGAGACCAACACTTGTAAGAGACTACTGAAGCCTGGGCAACATTGTCCAAAAATAAATAAATAAATAAAAAGCTGCACATTTGGGAAACATCTACCTTGTACGGTTCACTGAAGAGGGAGTAACTGGTATTAAATGAGCCATCTTCCTGCTGTGCCTCCTGATTTCTCCTCTCCCATTCTTTCCTTCGCAGAACATTTCTGTCTGGTTCAAAGACACTGTGTCAAAGAGAGAATTTTAAAAAAATTAAAGGGCAGCCCATAAACCAATGTGAATCTATGTGAAGAACTGTGGTTCACAGACAGATGGCACAGATTACAAGAACATGAATCAGGTTAATGCCAATCTAATCCGTCAGTGGAAGCTCAGGTCTCTGGGTATGCCAGTGCTTTCTTCTCATAGAACAGATAATTAAATTCTTAAGAAAGCCAACAAAAAAACAAAAGAAACCACACACCATGGAGCAAACTTGAGCCTGTGCTGAACTTCTCTGTCTGAAATGCGATGCAGACAAGATAGAAGCAACTTTGATTGAGTACTGAGAGTTCTCATATGACACATGGTAATTACAACTAAAAGTAAATAGAAATTATGAACATATTTCCATTTATTACATATCCTCTGCATGTTATAACAATGTTCCTTTTTACATAGCTGTGTTTCTGTAGTGATTCTTTCATTAACTAGCTCCACAAAGAGCAATTGAACCTACATGCTGTGGTGGTTTTCCCAGTTATGCTGCTTCTTCAGATCTCTGCTAATCAGTCAAGTCATGAAAATAATGCTGAATCAATTCTAACTGATTTGACACCATCACAACTTCAGAGAATAAATGAGTATTGGAATGATGAGAGATGGGGGATTAAGTTATATCACTTCATAAAACAATTATGTTCTTTTTGGAAATAAACTAAAGGCCCCAATATTGAAAGAAATATAAAAAATATTCTAAAATGTTATTTTAATATAAGTCTAAGAGATGAAGATCATTGTCTCCATATTGCCTCCAAGCAACATATACAGATTTGCAAACTGAAGTTTCGTCCTCATCGCAAAACAAGCCTAAATGCCTAAACAGGTTTATAAGTTGTTTACAACTATTAGTTTAAAAAGATGACTTAATATTTTGCTTTTCCAGCTAATGCTTTCCTCTTTTTTCTGTGTTATAATTTTGTACATCGGAAAATATATTAGCGTCATATAAGTGTATTGGCCATAAATAAAACAAAGCTTGTCTCTCTCGTTAGTTGTCTAGTTAGTCAAAATGGACTTTAAATCATCTGCCCAAGTGATTTCACTCTATATGCCTCTGTGAAGACTGTTACAATGCCTAAAGCTGTTGCAATTAATTTAAGATTTAGGTGTACTGAAAACACCCAAAATATGTAGACATAGTTAGCATTTTAAAATAATGTCTTAATAGTGACCAAAGGACACTAAAATCCACTATCTGTTTATTGATCTGTGTGAGATGAACATCTGAGCCTAATTCTTAATGGACAGGTGTTTACCACAATCTCAACTGGCATCTCTGAGCAGTCTCAGCTCAGAGGCCAGACACTAAGCATGCAGACTTAAGAGTACAATGGGAACCAAAGGAAGTTTCTCTTCAAAGTAGAATTAAGGTAGAGAAGTGCAGAGAAAGTTGACAAAGCTGCTGCTTAAAATATACTTTATCTTTTGCTTAAATAAAACTTTTATTCAATTTTTCATTTTGTATGTGCAATGAATGTACTTAAAATATATCTTCTGAAATACCAGTACTTGATCCATTTGACCTGATGGGATAATCTGGTCCAGACTGGCCTCTTAGACTGGCCCCTTAGATTGTACAGAGGCACTGGTGAAAGACTTAGTACATCAGTGGAATCCGCCTTGTGCAGGTGAGATTCCATTTAGCAACCATCATGGGAGAAGATGGAGAACATATGCCACACATAATGTGGAGAGAGGAAAGAGGTGCCACGTAAAAGATAACAATGGTGTTACTACACCATACTATCCAGAGACTCCAGTGTGGTCAATTGATAAGTGACTTTCTAACAACAAGAATTATATTATAGTCAGGGTTGATAGCACTGCATGCATGGTAAAATTGCCTGACACTTCACATTATCAATATCATTTTCAGTTGCATATTTCTGCCAAACTAGTTGTTTGGGCTCAGATTTTCATGCCAGGTTTTACCCTCAGAATGAATTTTCTTGAGAAAGTTCAGCCAAAACAGTTTAGCTGTTTCTGAAAACAAAGCTAAGTAATAACATACTGAAACAATGTTAAAAAAAATTCTGACTATCTTTTCTCTAGAAAGTTCTAGCATCTCCGGCCTTTGGATCATTGAGCTGAAAGCCTTTGTATCACGGATATGCCTTTTGCTGTCCCTGTGAAAAACTGCTAACATTTGGACAAGTTTGAAAAAGTGCAATTTTCACTTAATCTCTGGTACATATTGAGTAACAGCTAAAAGGTCCAGAGATTTTGTCCTCACAAAGAGCATGCTCCATCCTTTCATAGTGCAGCTGCAATACCCATAACTTGACTGAGCATGCTCCAGCATAGGGCTAGGCTATGGGGCAAAGCTGCCCTTCCCCATCAATGGCCACTGCAAGCTGGGTATAGGAAATGAGAGAAGGGAGCCTGCCTCTACTGTGTTCTCAATGACACCTGGTGGCTTCAAGGCAGCACAAAGGAGGCAGCTGTCTGATTTAAATGCAGAAGGGAGGGGATAAGGGCTGGATCTATGGCACTGCTGGGGAAGGCTGAGGGAGAGTAGATTGGAAAAAGGACCCTTGGGGACAGAGACTAGGACTGGCTGAGCAAGGAGGCCAAGCCTGAAAGCCAAGGAGGTAAATGTGTGAAGAAATCTGGTGGGCGGGTAGAAGAGAAACTTAGATCAGATGAAGAGATGGCGCTGAAGTGATTGGAGATGTGCCTGCCTTCTCTTTCTGTTTGCGGTGGCTCTTGGATGACTCAGCCCTCCAGCCAAGTCTCTCACACTCCGTTAAAACAAAGTGAAAGCCTTCTGGGCTATAATTCATCACTTTCATCCTGAGCTACCTTTCCTCCCATTTAGAAACTCTGGCCTCTGAAAAGCTTTATATGTAGTATCTAGTCTATAGACAGTTTGGGCAGACATCTCCTTTCAAGGCTTTATACATCTGGTCCCTAGCCAGTTTCTAGAAAACGAATGAGTGCATGAATCTTCACTCTGGCACCCACAGATTTAAAACAACAAAAACAACAACAACAAAACAAAACAAAAAATAAAACAAAACCCACCAATGTGACATTCACTGATAAAGCAAGGGGCTTTTTTTCTCCCCTCATTTGATAGAAAAAAGAGAAAAATCAATAAAAAAAAGTACACTTTCTATTTCTTTGAACACCTATCTACACATCCAGAATTAGATATTGACTTAGCAATGGAATTCATAACTTGCAACAATGTAGAATGGCTATGCAAATGACAAAGCAGCATCATGATGACTAATAAGCCAATTATAAATAGTACCTTAGAAACTGCTGCAAGTTGAAAGTTATGTTCCTTTGTTAATGGCAGATGGCAAAATCTCTAGTATTTGGAAGACTGCATCTTATTTGCAAGAATATACAAGAATCCATGAACATATGTCACCAAAGGTATATTTATTTCTTTTGTTTCAAAGAGAATAGGCCAACTGCTACAATTTATTTATTGCAAACACCTTAGTCAATGGAAAATGAATCAAATAGTTTCTTTTTTGTAAAAATGATCTTTTAAATATAAAAACAACCAAAAATGTGTGTATACCTATCTAGGCATTTATGGTACACTGTGTTAATCTCCCAGGGCACAGGTTTCTTACACATTGCAAGACTTTTTCCGTAAGTGTCTCAAAAAATATAGATGAAGCTTTTTTAGCATAGGCAGCTAGGGAAAACTAGACAATCAAACAGCAAACTATTTTCAAACATTTAAAATCAGTATATTCTACATAATTCACAAATGTCAAACTGGAAAAGGACAGGTTTAAATGATTTTCATAGGCAACACAAGGTAATTTTTATAACGCTGAATTCATGCTTATAAAGATATTAATTGGCATATGCGTTGCAATCCAAATGTTTGCATTACTGACATCTATATATGAATAAATGAATGTTGCATTCATATAATGTTTATATTATCCTCTGCAGTCTTATTGTAGCCGTATCAGTCCCACAATATCAGAGACACAACGTAGAAGAGATAATATCTTTTACTGGTCCAGCTTTGAAAGTTTTGCTCTCTCTCACTAACAAAAGTTGTTTCAATAAAAGATACCTCACCCACTTTGTCTCCATATTATCCTAGGTATTTCAATCTGCTTTATAAGCACATATAGATTTATTTCAGCTTTAAGCTCTGCCAAAAACACATGCCAACAGAGGAAAATGTACCTGTTAATTATGTAATCCCATTTCATGCTCAATGGATTGTTATCACACTATCATTACTATGGTTCAAATGACTTTCTTCCCTTCCCTTTTCTTCTCTTCTCCAGTTCTCCCTTTCTCGTCCTCTCCCTCCTGTACACATTTCCTGTAGGACAGTCTAAACTATGCAGTTACCAGATACTTTGCAGCTCAGACATCCAGGCAATGCCAAACTTCTCCTTCTTAGAAGGAAAATTTGGATCAAAACAAAGGACCATCTTCTGGAATTATATAAAAACATCCCTCAATAAAGGAAAACCCAGGTGTGACGACGCGTTGGAGTTCCCCTGACTCCTGCACCCCTGTAATGGCACAAACAGACTCCTCCAGCCAGTAGAATAGAGGGAGTTTATTGCTTTTCCAGGATACAGCACAGCCTAGATGTAATCTGGCAACAGGGCAAGCCTAGGATGCCTCAGCCCCCTTTGAGATGGGGGAGACTGGGCCCCTAAATCCCAGCCCCTTGCTAAGGCTGCTTCCTTCATGATACCAGACAGAAACTGCCCAACTTCCAGCCCTGTCTCCCAGCCAGGGGCTATATTCCACCTTCCTCCCTTTGTTCCTCTACCGGGAAGGTAGCCAGTAGATCAGGTTACCTACCTGACCCATCAACTACTCGGCTGGGATGTGGTACAGACAGCAGCCAGTGGGGGTCACCCACAGCCCAAGCCTAGCAACCAGCAAGGTACCAACACTACATCACACCAGGCTTTAAAGAAAATCAGGCCTATTGTATCCATCTGTCCTTAAAGGCTTGGATTAG